TGATTAGCCAGAATGTTAACACTTAGGTTTTGGTTATTTAGATATTAAACAGTCGTATGTTATAGGTTAAATACCATTATTTTGATTAGCCAGAATGTTAACACTTAGGTTTTGGTTATTTAGATATTAAACAGTCGTATGTTATAGGTTAAATACCATTATTTTGATTAGCCAGAATGTTAACACTTAGGTTTTGGTTATTTAGATATTAAACAGTCGTATGTTATAGGTTAAATACCATTATTTTGATTAGCCAGAATGTTAACACTTAGGTTTTGGTTATTTAGAGATTAAACAGTCGTATGCTATAGGTTAAATACTATTATTTAACTCTGGACAGAGTAGTCTATTTCGTAGCTTTGTGCAAAAGATCAACAAAAAACAAGTAATTGCATAAATTCCTATTTTTTGTTTGTGCTTGACAGAACATTTTTCATTGCTGGTTTTTAGGCTCGTTACCTGGAGATCGGAATTCCGGATCCTTCCGTTTTGAAAAGCGTACAGACGGATTATCGTCAGAACATAGCTGTAACTTGCACCATACTGGTAGCCAGGATACGTACGATACCCTGTAAGTTACGATGTGTTACTTTTCTTTCTTTTTTTTTTTTTAAACAAGTGCAATAAATGTTACAATAGCTGATGAAATAAAGTTTGTAATCTGTAGTGATTACTACATAAATGTTATATTGTTTAATAGAAGAATAATTTATCATTATTAAGGTAATTATTGTTCATTAAATTTAATATGTTGTTCAGTAAATATTCACCTGGGTTAAATTACTGTATGGTGCCGGTTGAACATTTCAAAATATCCTGTTTTCCAATTACGTATGACACAACTGAATCGGTATCTGATCTAAGCTTCTTTCGTTTCAAGAATTCTAAACTTCATTCTGAAAGGGGGGGGGGTGCTGGTGGTTATGGCTCTTGACTTGCAACTTGCCGTTCGCAGGATCAAATGCTGAACTTGCTTGCTTTTTTAATCGTGGGGGAAATTATAGTTGGTAAAGCGTAGCCCAAGAGTTGGCGGTGGGTGGTCTTGAATAGCTACCTTCTCTCTAATCTGTCACTTAGAGACGACCAGCGCAGATAGCCATCGAGTAGATTTGAGCGAAATTCGTCAAACAAACAAATATTTTTTAAGGGTCAATAAAAACTAATCTGACTCAATTAACACTAAATGTACGACATTGAATTTTTTTTTTAAGTTTCTTCGGCAAAGTAAAGCCTGTCAACGATGTTTTCTTTCTTGGGCGTGAGCACAGACCAGTTGTCGAGCACTGCGCATGTTACCTATTAGGTAGGAACGTGTAACGTGTGTTTGCACGGACTCGGCAAGTTATACAGTCCACGATAATGAAGTGATGGAAACATTTCCTTTAATCTGGATCGTTTAGAGAATGAGGATATACCGCGGAAAGTGATCTTCCATAATGAGCAAATTAAATTATACGTCCATTAAATCGCCTGAAAATTTACAAGCGGAAGTTGTCAATGTATATACTACTTTGAAGTTACCCATCATGTGGCATTAAAATTATAGATCGTGTATTTCTGTTTAACACAGTTCACGAGTAACATTAGCGAAGAACAGCGTATACGTGGGCTTTTATAATATCACTTTAAAATGCGGTTTTGTCATTATCATGCATGAATTATTTTACATGAGCCTGTGTCAGAAATATGTATATGTAAGTATAGGTTTATTCCAAACAAAAATGACGAACTTTTTTTATGCTTCACATATAGTAGTGAAATATATTAAACTCAGTCTTTTGTTATCCACTCTTCAGCATCTACAATATTCCAGAAATAGCTCTGTTTACATATTACAAGCTCAGAAATATATTCAAATGAATAGTTTTTTTGTTTTTTTTCTGACTTTATGTTAAAATATAGCAATATAAATTGCCAACAGATGGAGATACCATATGTATGTTCCAAAGAAACTTTTTCTGACGGTTAAATAAAAAAAAAAATTTAAAATGTTTTTGCTGTTATTAATTAACAGATTTTCATCACCAGTAAAATTGTCAGGAAGCACAATGAGCAAACTACATGATATTCAAGTTTTGTGATTAAAGTTGTATTTCTAACGGACCTTATGATCCACGACTTCTAGTGTTTTAGAGTAAAACCTGTAAAGGCTCCGAAACAACTGTGAAAAATAGCAACCATTGAGTAGATGAAGAACTGAGGTTTAACCTCGAAACATTAGTTTGACCCAAGCCACACACGGTGATTTGGTGAGAGACACGTCAAAACGCCCGAACCATCTCTGTGTAACAATATAATCAGTGACTTACGGAATGATGCCTTATTCAGCTCAAAACGCTAATATTTTAAGACACTTGCACAGCGTGATCGCAGAGATTTTCAGTAGATCTAAAACTCCGCTATTGAAGCTTGAGGCGCTTATTATAAAATCACTAGATGGCGCAAGCTGTAAATCAGTGTGTTATTCTAAAAGGCAATAATTTCTTATTACAAGCGGTGTCAATGAACAGGGAGAACTATAAAAAAATAATGTCAAATGCTTGACCTGTTACAGTATACACGTATATTAACGCATTGTTTGAAAACAGTTTTTTTGCAATTATTTGTTACTGATATAATTACTGAGCACTCGACTTGCAATCTGAAGGTTCGAATCTCCCATTTTTGAATATAGCAGTTGTTTTCCTGATGTTTCTTACCTTCTGACAGCCCGGCATGGCCAGGTGGTTAGGGCGCTCGACTTGCAATCTGTGGGTCGCGGGTTCGAATCCCCGTCACACCAAACATGCTCGCCCTTTCAGCCGTGGGGGCGTTATAATGTGAGGGTCAATCCCACTATTCGTTAGTAAAAGAGTAGCCCAAGAGTTGGCGGTGATGACTAGCTGCCTTCCCTCTAGTATTACACTGCTAAATTAGGGACGGCTAGCGTAGATAGCCCTCGTGTAGCTTTGCGCGAATTCCATAACAAACAAACAAACCTTCTGACAGAACACATGCGATGGCAATAAGGAGGAGTTTATTTTTCACCTTGTAGATTTTCAAGCAGATATTTATTCTAAGTAAGCTAATAAGGAAGCCAGCTTAGTAAAAACTCACTCTCCCAAAGTTCCATAATTATAAAAACTATTCAAATTTTAGGAAATATGTAATTGTAGCGTTGTTTTTGAGTTAGTGTATTGTATATCGCTATACATCACTGTTATATCGGGACGAAACGTATATTGTAGCGAATCAACTAAAGATACTTTCAAATGAAGACCCAACATTTCTGGAGCTTTATTAGCTCTCATCGTCAGTATATCGATGCAATATTACACAGCTTAAATAAGCTATGTCGCATCAAGAACAGAATACTAAGATATGTTACATAGAGAACAGGAAAGTTATAAATTGATTCCTTCCTCACGGTTTAAAATATCGTTATTTTGAACAATGTTCATGTTTCCAGAAATAACGTTTAGTTGACGGTTAATCTTAAACAAAATGGACATAGCCTGACATTTAACATCATGAAGATCGGTACAGACATGCTCTGTTAAAGTGAACGAGCTCATCTTGTTGATTGTTTTTTAAAGTTCTGGATGTTTGACCTGTTTTCATAATTAATACAAGCAGTACAATAAAACTATTATTTTGACATTCTTTAGAAATTTTATCTTCAGGGTGACATCTTCGTTTAAAGCCTAAATGAATCTATGGGCTAATAGAAAAACAATTTTACGTAAAATACAACTAAGAGTTTGTGAAATACCTTTCATATAAGGAAAGACCGTCTTGGGAATATGAAAGTTATCTTGACGATTGAAATTACAATCACTGTTGCTTCTAATTAACTCTATGTATTTGAGTAAATTATTAAATGAAGTATATCCATTCTCAGACAAGGTCTTTTTAACTTCTACTTCTGCTTGGTCTATTGTTCCTTATAAAAAAGAACGTGGTGAAAAAGCAATTTATTCAAGTTACTGAATTCAGACTTAAAAGTTGAAACGGTTGTAATCCTTCTTAGTATTTGTCTACTTAATACAGATTTGGTCTGTGATGGAAATACTTTGGCTTCACCAGTTTCAGCTGTAATAGCTAATTTAGTTATGGAAAATGTTGAATACATGGCTATTAACAACTATACACAGTCAACTACATTTTGAAAACTACGTTGTTTATAGTTTTGAGTATTACCAAAACCGTGAACTCCAAATTTTAATAAATAGATGAACCCAGATATTCAATTTTCAATTCAGAAAGAAACTTTAGATAGCTTACATTTTCTTGGTGTTAATGTTACTCCTGAAACCCACTTATTCTAATAGCAATTTACAATTTCAATCCTATCATCCCCAAAACTCTTAAGATTTTTGTAGTAGAAACTCTTAAAGAAGTTTTACACACTTCTTCACATGAAGTAATAGACCAAGAATTACCAGAAGCTAAAAGACCTCTGAGAATGGATATACTTCATCAAGAATCACCAGAAGCTAAAAGACCTCTGAGAATGGATATACTTCATCAAGAATCACCAGAAGCTAAAAGACCTCAAAGGTCTTTTAGCTTCTGGTAATTCTTGGCGAAGTACATTCATTCGCAAAGGTCTTTTAGCTTCTGGTAAATCTTGACGAAGTATATTCATTCTCAGAGAATGAATGTACTTCGTCAAGAATTACCAGAAGCTAAAAGACCTTTGCAAATAAATGTACTTCGTCGTTTGTAACAGAAATTTAATACAAAAAATTAATTAGGAACAATAATGATTGTAATTTTATATTTCTTAAATTGCTAATATTCTTAAAATTGTCTTAAATTATGTGACAGGCGTTTCAGACCCATGAACTGCACAGTCGTGATACCTGGGAGGGTCAGGTGCACACTGGCCCTCTTCCTTCCTTCATGGTTGTTTATTTTAAACGATTGTGCGTTTGTATAGCTGAGACATCGGCTTCTACTTTCCTTTATGATTGATGACACCAGTGTTTATGGAGAAACGATTTATGAACATGCAAAACGCTGCAGTGCGCGCCTCGAATGTCCGTAGTTTATCGCGCACACAAGTGTCCATGTCCATGAATGAAAATCACCGTTTTCCAATTTATATGTCACAACAGTATCACTTATTGCGTCTGTTCGAGCAGAAAGCCTTGTTCCTACAAACAGTTTCAAATTTGCACATAAAATCTTATTTTAACATTTACAAAAAAAATATTTTGAGTTAAAACTAACAGTATACCTAAACATTGGTTTGCCTAGTATTGGGTGGCCGTTGATAAAAAGAACTTAGATTTAACTATGAGAGATACTTAAGTCTATATTAATCATATATGATAAAGTTCTCTAACGTAATTGGTGATTTATTTTTGACTTTTCCTTAAAATAATTTATTGACCTACTAGCTGTTGTACCCGTCCCCTGGACAGAAGTTATGTAAATTCATGATTAATGAAAGGGTACCTTAGGAGATGAAGAGTTACTTCCATTATATGTAATTGTAAAAAACTGTAAAACCCAAAATGTGAAACCACAACTTTGCAAGTATCTCCGCAGGGATCCAACAAATCTTCATGCTAAATTTGGTGAAGATCCATCCACAGGAGGTGATGTAGTAGTAAAAAAAAAAAGACCACAAAATGCAAAACTGAAAATTTATTTGTAACCCTGCATGGACCTAATGAACCTCGATACCAATTTTGGTGAAGATCCATCCACACCCTGCGAAATAGTTACATGGGCACACAATAGAGAGTACTAGTATATTTATATAGATGTATGATAAAGTTCTTTAAAATAATCGGTGATTTACTTTTGATTTTTTTCATAAGATAATTTATTGATCTATTTAGAAGTTCGCCTGACGACGTAGTGATGTTTGCATATTTGTACAGAAGTGTTGAATTGGTGTTCTTGGCACGGCTTAGTTAGTATTGAATTTTTGATTTGTTATCATTTGGTTACTTGTGTGTGTGTGTGAAATGTTATTCTATGCAGGGCGGGCATACTGTGACATTGGACATGTATATGTCTTTAGTATGTTTTCTCTCATTCGTCCCCTATTGTTGCCAGTCAGACGTCGAACGTAGTTGGCTCTTTGCCATATAGTTGCTTTGACGTCATTTACACGTTTTATCCAGTTAAATTTTGCTGATGTGGCTACCTGGAGAAGTGTACCATTTAGGTATAGTTTCGGGGGGTGGGGTTGTTTGCTTATTTTGACAGAATTTGTTAGGGCTTGTGTTTTAGGTGCATTTACTTTTATTCTCTTCCATATAGCCACATCAATAGTAAACTGTGAACTTGGGTCTAACTACCCCACCTTGC